CACAGGTGGGGGTGCTGACATTAGACAAGCGAGCCATTCTGCAACAGCTTAGGGGAGGAGCTTTCAAATGTAGTGTTTCATACTCCAAAGTTCAGAGGAAGTGTTTCGTTCCTTTAAAATGGCGCAGTTTTCGATTCTGATATTATAGTTCGGAAGTGGGGAGAGGAGAGGTAGTAGAAGGCTGCCAGATGACATTAAATGAATTTTTTTCATGACAAAGTAATTCCTCCAATTCAATTTTTTCCCTTTACCTAATTGAAGTATCATTATAGTCTCATGTTTAATATATTATTTAGCATCTCACCAAGCAGATTGAAAAGGCTGAAAATGAGCAAAGAATGCACATATCACTCATTGCCTGTCTTTGCTCTCTCTCTCATGTAGACATGGAAGAGGAGGCTAGGGGATGCCACTTCTCCACCCCCAGACAGGGGATTCTCACTGGCAGAATATATAATTCTTCACTTTGGTTTAAAAATGTTCTTTACAGCAAGTGTATTATGTGTTTTCAGCTTAGCTACTCTTAGTACCACACTGCTGTTCAAACATATAAATCCCACCAAGCCAGGCAGAATGCAGTGAAGGATATACAGTTTTTATCTTTCTTTCATTTTATTGTGGGAAAAGGGGGTGCTCAGATCTCTGTTTTTCTAAGTGTATCGTACAAATCATTTTAACTTGTGTTTATTATTTTGCTTTTTCCTATTAAGTTTTAAATTGCCTCTAGGTTCCTTAGCTTTCTTTGATTATAAACTTCTTAATTAACTCTTATAAGGGGCCGGAGATCACAACTTCATGTTTTCCTTTTTTTGTTGCTGTTACCTTTTTTTTGTTTTTTCTAAAGTATTGGTGTAGCATTAGCTGTTGAGCTTCTGGTAGCTGAGGGAGGTGGTGCTGAATGTTTCCTTCCATTCATTCATTAGTTTCCCTTCTTAAAAGACCCATGAAATACTGGTCCACTAACAGAGTGTCTTCGTGGTCCCTCCCAATGCTATTTGACTTTGGGAAAGATGCTTTTCATTCTGAGCTTCTGGGCCCTCAGTTTCAAAATGAACCATGCTTATTATTATTATTTTTTTAAATTTTAAGACAGGGTTTCACCATGTTAGTCAGGCTGGTCTTGAACTCCTGACCTCAGGTGATTCACCCGCCTTGGCCTCCAAAGTGCTTGGATTACAGGTGTGAGCCACCATGCCCGGCCATGAACCATGCTTATAAGCATATGTGACATCTATTCTCTGGGCTAGTTAAAAAACAAGTGAGTTAAAAATTTGTTTCAGGAACCTAAAATAAAATTTATTTTTAGATAGGTCAGTCTATCAATCATAAGTATTAGATAACAATATTATAAAATTTATTCTCTTGCAGTTTGGCTTAGAGCAAATTCAAATCTGCTAGTAAACTTTGGAGTAAGTAAAGAAAATTCTAATATAGTTTGATTTCTCAAGTACCTTATTTTTTAAAAATTCCAGATATTAATGGCAAACTAAATGTTAAATTGACTACAGATAAGGACACCTAGACTTTATCTCCCATCCAACATCTTTATACTTAAAATTTCATAATTAACTACATCGAAGTCTGAAATTTTCAAAAGTTTCTATAATTAGAAAGACATTTTAAACCTTTTAATTTATCTTAGAACATAATATATTCATAAAATAGCTTTGTCTGTGGCCACTGTTTATGTGGTAGTGTTTATAGTTATGTCTCAAATGGGGACTGCCTCAGTTGCCCATTATATGTATACCTCATCTTTTCTTTTTCACAACCCATCACCATGCAGAGCGATGTGTGCTTAGTAAATGCAAAATCATTTTAATATTAGCCTTAGTAAATCATAGTTCTTCTGTTTAAGTGTTAAAATAGCAATACACATATGTTCTGGGTTATTTGTATTAGTATTGCTTTATATAAACATGGATACTCGTGTTGGTTGCATTCTGGATTGAAAAAGTGGACTCAGATCTTATTCCTTTATCAAAAAGATGTGGATCCTAAAAGTCCAACTGTATGGTTGTTGTAGAATGATTAGAAAACATAAAAGAGCAACACAAACTGCAAAACTATATGTATTTTAAAAAGCAAAAAATTGAATTAGATTTTTTTTGGCTGGGTGATAGGTGGGAAAGATTTTAATCATTACTCATCTCATTCTGCATTAATTGTATCTCATCAGGTTTATGATGCAATTGATTGTAAGATACATCTCTATTGCAGTGATGTTAAAGTATAAAAAGTGGATGAAATATGGAAAACACAGATTCTCTGTGTCCCAGGACCTCTAGAGAACATTGTTTCCTATAGAGTAATAGCACATGCTGGGTTCATGTTAGCCCCTTTCAGCTTTACATATCATTAATTAAGTTTTGATGTTCTAGATATTTAATGGACACTAACATCAATATGACCTTGTAGTATGTGTCCAGAGCATTCTAGTGGAGTCTACTGGTTTAGATTCAGATTATGAGAATTTAACAGTCTAATATAGGGTTAGAAAATATTCATGAAACTGGAATAATCAGACATAACATAGCCTTTCTTTTAAAATATTCTCTGGATATTTTTATATCTTTTGATTCTAAAGTCCTCTGAGGATGGACTATAACAATTCTTATCAGTAAAAACTATTTTGGGTATTAGCTCTGTATAAAGACCTGCAGGGAATTGATATGAATAAAATGTGTCATAAACTCAAAGAGACTTTTCTGGCAATTAAAGATACTCATTATCTAGGAAATTTATTTGATACCATTTTTTTCTCTCAGTTCATAGTTCAAACCTGTTTATTGTTCTGTGATCAGTAGAGGTAAAACTTATTTATAATTATCTGGGACAGAAAACAAATCTGATTGAGTCAGGGAAGCCAATGTCTACTTTATAAATGAGTTGTGTGAAATACAGGACCTGCCAATGGAGCCAGTAGGAGCCCAGATATTTATTTCCTTGCCACTCTGTCTTGTACAGGGTCAATGAAGATACAGCAGGAGCAAGGACAAAATAGAGAGGCTAGAGAGTGAGGGGAATTTGGATTATCTGGGGCCAGAGCGATGCGGGCTTCTGGGCTTGTAGCCTTGTGTTATGAACCAGGAAGAATTTAGGAACAGCGCCAGGCAGTAATTGGACACTGTCCATTTTAGTCCACTTTCTAGACCATTTTGCTATACAGGGTTTAACTCCAACTCCTGCCATGGCTGTATATCCTGTGCCTTTCCAGAGGATAAATTCATAGAAACAAGATAGAGAGATGACAAGCACATTTGTGATTATTCACATACACCAGTGTGGCTGATGCATCTATTATTAAGCTGATTTCATGTTAAAAAATTTTATTATTATGACATTTCAGTTTGGCACTTTTAAATTACATCACTGTCCCTTTTCCTGTGTTAAATTTCAGTAACTCAGATATCCCACATCAGAACTATGTGAGACACGAGGTAGAAAAAAAAAAAAATGAAAGAAACATAGTCACTGTCCTCAAGGGTCTCACAGTCTAAGAACAGAGAGAATCTCAGCCCAGAGAGGGAGCTAGCTCAGCTAGTTAGGACACAGCTGTACTTGGTCGTTAGTAGCACAAAGCAGAACCCTGCCTCAGGGAGATGAGAATTCCAGTGGTCATCCTATAAGGCAGCAGAAAGGGCCCCATAGGTTCTGTGATACACTCTGATGATATTAGCCCTTTGAGTTCCCAGTGCTATGTTGAGACCTTGAGATGAAAAGAATTATCCTTACTATCTTCCCTTAGAGAAAGGAATTGTCATGTGTATATCAGCAACTAGGGAGGGCTAACCATCTGCTATATAGAAAGGGCCAAAGAGGCTTCTGTGAATTGAATTAAGAACCCCCTCCCCCACCAGTACTGCATAGTGATTGAAAAAAGAGGAGTCTGATGTTTTAAATGGGAGTCTATGAAAGTCTGTCGGCGTTTTAACCCCCTGGTAAATAACTTGATTCATTGTTACCCTTTTTCTCTCTACTACTTTGTAGAAATGTCATTAGAAGCTCTAAGATTTCTCTGGCTGTTCTATGTCTGGGGCTAACTTTTTTTTGAGAAAGATGAGATTCCAAGGCAAGATATAAAACCTTACACAGGTCATTTGGATCTCTTGAGTTTATGCCTAAGACAAAATAAAAACCAAGAAATAAAAATCTATGTATAAAACATACACAGTCAATTCAGGTATAAGTTAGCATCTGCCACAAATGTTGGCTCAAACATACTGTATTAACTGCAAACATATATCTGTAGGAAGTTCAATTCAAGGTGTGCAATTATAATTTTAAGTTTTCAGTGCTAAGTCAGGTTATGCTCCCCTTCTCTTTTAACCCGAATTATTAATACAAACAAATCAGCTGATCGGTTGGGCTGAGGAGGATGAGAACAAGGCACTTAAGCACTCAGAAAGTTTGAGCTTTGGTTCATTTTTTATTGAAACACAGTACAAGTGTTATGTTTAGTTTCTCCTGCTCCAAAATAGCACTGTTAATTTTTTCATTTGGTGAATTTTCACACAAGTGCTAATCACACGTTTCTATAAATTATATTAATTTAACTTATTTTCCTAAATGTTGTTCTGCAGTGTGTAGCACGGATGTTCTCAGATTCTTGGCTGTGTAAGCTTGTTGTAGTTGGAAGCGGGACAGACGCATCTGAAAGGCATTATTTGGATTATGGGTGCTGGAGCATCTGATCTCACCTTTTGCTCTGGTTCCTAAATCACAACTGTTCCACCTCTTTGCATTTTATCTGTGTGTTCTGTCCCCTCCATTGTTGACATTGCCCCAGGGTTGGCTTTTTGGAGAAAGCACTATCATTGTATAAGTTAAAGGGATGGTAATCATGTTTGATGTTAAATAGCTTAGTTTATGGGAGAGGGACTGTTTTAAGTTTAAAAGACAAAACAGGTTAGCTGGCTATAGCAGGCTATATAGTGCTGTTTCTTGTCCTAAAAAGAAGTATTCATATTTTGAAAAAATAATTATATATTTTTTTTCAGAGTATGATTTCATCCATTGTAAATAGCACATATTATGCCAATGTGTCAGCAACCAAGTGCCAGGAGTTTGGGAGATGGTATAAAAAGTACAAGAAGATTAAAGGTAAACTGACTTTTTTGTTTGTAAAGCCTGTTTTCAGTTTCCGAGGTTCATGAATTGTTGGTTGTTTGGAATTTATGCTCATTTAATATACAACTTACGTATTTTTTTACAAAGGTGAGATCTTTAATTTCCTGTCATGAGATCCAAATCGGCTCTCTTAAAACTAAGAAGATATTTGAAGTAAAAGTAAAATTAGTAGCACAGTATGTTAAGTTTATAGTTTTCATAAGTGATACCTGCAAAGACCAAAATCCTTTAGAATGGAAACTTAAAAGCTGTCACTCTTGGTTAAATCAACACTTACATTTCAGGTACTGGTTAACCAATACTGTTACCATATCAGGAAGTATTTGATCAGAAGTGGAGTTTGATGTGTCCGTTTGTCGACGATTCCAGAGCAGTGGTGAAAACATTCAGGCAGACTTGGGTTCAAATCTTTGGCTTCTACATGCTAGCTGTGGGAGCTTAAGCAGATTATTTAACTTCACCAAGACTCAATTTCCTCATCTGAAAATGGGAAATAGTCAAAGTACTTAGGTCACTGGGTAGATTCGAGGACTAAATAAGACAATACTGGCACAAAGTAACCTCTTGATAGATAATAGTAGAATACTAAACTACTAATAATTAATTGTAGGAATTGTTCTAGCAGTAATGTATTACATATGGAATTATGTTTGGTCCTAAAAATAAAGTTCTCTTATGTAGTAAATAGCATGCTATTTTAGATCACCTAGACCTTTAAACATGTCAGGACCATTTCAAATATGTTAGTGGTGGAAAAATTCTTTTGTTTTCACTCCACTCAGATACCTGCTTTCTGGATTTCACTCCAGTTACCTATTCAGGCCCCTGAGGGGATTTGGGGAATTTTTTGTAACATTGGTTTGATGGTTCTTCTAGTCCATATTTTGCATAATTATGACATATTTATCACACTTTGTTACATGAATTCCTAGCCTTGCTTACACTGCCCCCATTTGAGGGGCAAATGACAATTTATGGTGGGTAAGTAAAAGTAAAGGATGAATTTATTTGTTTTACTTCTTGGAGGTTTTCTCAGGGGAGACAGGGTGTCAAATTAGTACTTGTTGGCTATTGAATACTTGGGAGCTTCTTTACAAGGTTACCTTTTGAAAAAATGAAGTTTACCTACATTGGCAGCACATTTCTGATCACAAAGGTATGAGAGTATTTTTGCTAAATATATGTTTTATAAGGCAAGTCAAAACATTGAGCTACCCGGGAGAAATTAAGTACACTGAAAATTGAATTAAGATCCATTTCTTTTCAACAGATTCTAAAATTCTTAGAACCCGTTAGATTCTGGTTTGGGCAAATGCTTTAGGATATTAATATTTACCCTTGTACAATATAAGATGAATAACTCCTTCTCATTATACAACATCATTATGTGGTTCAGAAGGGTTTCTTTTCTGTAAGTGTTGCCTCCAAGTTTTTCTTTTAAAATAGGATTGTTAAAGTGCTTGAACATATCCTCTTTGAGTAAAAATCAAAAGAATCATGCAGCTTCAAGGTCATTTGTTAGATCCCATTTACTTGCTGTTATAAGAGAAAGTAAGAGACTGTCCTCTTTTAATAGGCTGGAGTGTAATTCCAGATTCAGAAAAAAGATTGGAAACTCTTCACTCTAGTGTTTTCAGAATTGCCACTACAGAATATGTGTGTGTGTGTGTGTGTGTGTGTGTGTGTGTGCAGTCGCACATTAACACTCATGTCTTGAGCTTTAATTCTTCAAGCTGTATTTTTTTTTTTTAAGATAGTAAATGCACAGTTAAATCTTTAAGTGCCGTAAAAGCAGACTGAGACCTTGATTTCATTCAGCAGGTCAAGGATCCACACCTGAAGAGGCTGTCAGACACTGTGTACACATACTATTCAAAGACATGGAGCTAGTCATTGCTGTTGAAAAGTGTGTATGTGTGTCTGTGTGTGTGTCAGTAGGAGGAGAAAAGGGAAGGTTAAGGTATGTGTGAAGTAAACACAAGCTGCCATAAAACAGTTCAAGTGGTGTTGATTCATCAACCAAGGGAGTGGGAGGAAAAACAAAGAATTCATGACAGGTATAATGGTGTGCAGAAAATAAACATCCAGAGAAGTGCGTTATGTTAACTTTCGACCCTCAGAAAAAAGGAAGTGTTGGACCGAGGCAGGCACATTTTATTTGGTAGAAGCCTTTTTCTATGAATAGATGTTGCTGTGGGAGTTTCTACCTAGTAGGATCCATTTCTCATGGGAAAGTAATGATTTGATTTGTAAAATTTGTGTCCCTGCTTTCAAAGTGAAAAAAAGAAGCAATGAATTTCAAATTTGGAAACTAGTAGTAGCAAAACCAGAATTCTACCACGGGGCTCTAAGAAACTAGAAGTCAGGGTTCCATGTCCCTCCCAGCCTCCCTACTTTCCATTTCTACCTCAAAGTTACCAATTTACATGCACTTCTATGCACTGTTCAGCGTGGAAGAAAATCTCAAGTGAACTTACTGACGCCCCAAACTAAATGCAGGCCACATTGTTAAATATGTTTCCTATTATCTGCTAATGTCTGTTTTAATAAAACAGTGGGAACTAAGTGGTTGCTTCTTAATCAAAAACATGATTTCCTAAACATAAGCTATGTGATTCTGTTACAAATTGCCACATATAGATCTCCTAGGTCAAGATTTTTTTCTCTTCTCTTAGAAATAAACAGTAAAATAATGATATACTCCAAAAGATCAAAGTAAATATGACTAAAACCTGGCAAAAATAAAAGTCTACTGAAAGGATAAAAAAAGATCAGATTGCAAATTCTATAGTTAATGCTTAAATAAATATGGGAAAAATGAATAATCAATAATTTGATATCATCAAAAACAGATGTAAAAACTGTATACAAATGGAATTGTCTAAATTTTGAAGTAAACATTTTAATGTGCATTTTTTGAATTTGTTGTTATTATAGCTAAACTATTTACACTTATTCTTTAGAAAGTCCTAAATTGGTTTGGCTTAGCATGTTAACTTTATTTTCCCCAGTGATCACAGCAAAGCACATTCTGTTTACCTTTTTTCTTTAATTTCAAAGACAATCATGGTTGACACAGACATATTTGAGTTAACATGAGCATTACTTCAGGATAGATAGGGAGACAGTGTGTATACTCTGGTTTCAAGGTCTAGGACCACGAATCTGTTTCCCAGGAGTACTTGACATTGAAGAAAATGGAGTGGGTGGGTAGGGTAGTGTGGTAGGTTGGTTTAGGCATTTTTTAAAATTGCTGATCATAGCATACTATAATTGCATCTTGTCTGGATTTTACAATGTAGAGCTCATAAGCTCCCAAGAAAAAGAAAAAAAATGAACATTTTAACAAATAAAAAAAAAAAAAAAAGACCAATATTAATAATTGTTTAATGTTTAGGAGTTTTAGTATTGTACATGAGGAGAATTCATAGACACCTAGAAACATTCATGCTATTCCAAAATTATTTTTAAGGTCTTAGAATTATGAGGAATTTACCCAAGTAATTTTTTTTCATAAGTTCTACACATTTTAATAAATGTATGTATATTTTTTTACCCAACTCTTTTTTTTGGCTGATCCTGAGATGTGAACTTTCCTCATCATTTTTATGAAACAGTGGCTATCATATACGTAGTACCACCATTAGTTTCATGGCAATCTACTTCTGCAGAGGATATAATAAAAATAAGAAAAAGCCTTAAAAAAGAATCTTTTACATATTTTAAATGTGTCCTAATTAATAAGCTACAAGAAAATAATTTTATATCTAAAGTATTTTGTCATCTGGTACCAAAAGCAAAATAAGTAGTCACCTTTGGTGAGGTCAATGCCAATTATTTAGCATGCCTCAAGAATTGAAGTGTCATTGAAAGTTTAAACAAATACTCATGGCTATTATAAAATTATTTATGTCATAAAATAATACCATTAGAATGAATGGACCTAACCAAATCCTGTATTTTGGCTAGAGTGCAAAATTATCCGCATCACTTTTCTTTTTTCAGTCATTGCCCAAGAAACCCCTGATTGTTAGTTGTCTTAATTTTATTTGTTTATTTGAACTTATTTTGCCAGATACTAAAAATCTGGGAGAAAAGAAGATTTTAAAAACCAGTGTTACTTCCGCAAGCCTGGTTTATTCTAGTAATCAGTATTTTATCTGACCCTGTCTGATCTAGTCTTGCAAGATCAAACGTCCAGGCCAGCAGGCAGACAGTAAACAAAGCCCATGAAGGGTTTCAGTAAACACAAAGATTAGATGTTGAATGAAAATTAAACTCCTTGAACTAGTCCTCTGTACTAAAGTGGTTAAGTGGGTTGTGATTAAAAGAAATAAGTAATTATGATCATTATAGCTGAAATGATATAATGTTACCACATTTAAAGCACCTCTTGTACTCGAAAATGATTGTGTCATTTACAAAGCGGTGCCTTGGAGTTGAATAGAAAAATCAGCGTCCCCTGACCTGGTTCCATAAGGCAGCCCTTGCTTAGCCATGGTGGTATCAGTGGTCAGAACAATGCCTTTAATCAACTCCTGGTCTTTCTGCCTCTGCTGTTGTTTAACTCTGATGAGGTAGAAGTAACTTACTTTTGTCTACCTAATTTTTCTGTCATGAAAGAAATTTGCTTTCAGCTTCAGATCTGAATGAAATGTTCTGCAAAAGTTTGTCTGCCCTATGTTGTACTTGTTGAAAGTAATGGCAACATAAAATCCTTTGAATATTGTATACATATTTGTGTATTTTATACTGACAAATTATAGCTGTACATATTTATGAGGTACAAAGTGACGTTATGATTTTTAATACAATGCAAAATGATTAAATCAGGTGAATTAATCTATTAGTCACCCCAAATATTTGACATTTTTGAGAAAAAGAAAGACTCTCCAGCTCTCACATAAGGTAAGGTAAATTTTGTTTTCTTAGCAAATTAGAAATCAAACTGATAACTCGACATGGAAAAAAAA